CACGACGCTCTTCCGATGGTTCAGTTCCCATTTTCCAACCCCTTACTCCTTGTATTTCCCCAGTAGCTTTTGACTATACGGATTATGCTGAAAAGAATTTTATTGAACTGTTTTTGTTAAGATCTCACAGAGTAAACAAGAGCTTTTCGATGGGCTGCCTTCTGTTGGCAACTCTGGTCTCTCTTTGATTTCCGCGATCCATCGCTACCGTCGAGCTTATTTTCTTCAGCCGTCCCGTCCACATCTGTGTTTTCTGTAAATCACTGTTTTCCCATTCGACCCGCAAAAAGTCCCAAATGTTTAGAGGAGGAAATTTCCCTCCAAACAACAATCCACCCCCGTTCCACTTTACGTGGTAGGCAGTTCTTGCTTTTCGTTGAAGGGCAAAAGCTGAGACCTTATGAGAACGAACTAGCTTAAGATCATATGCTGCTAATACAGTCGGACGATAAGGGCGTTGTACCAGAATACCCAATCTGAGAGCAGATTCTATCATAAAAGTAAATTTTAAGAAAGAAGAAGGTGTCGATATTGTCATATTGTCATGTTGTCCGTTTTCCGGTTGCGCCACTTTTGAACCACCCTTCCCACGTGAGGAGAAAATGCCAAAGAGAACCGCGAAAAACATCTTCAATATGACCCCTTCTGCCTCAAACAATTGCACAGGTGAAATGCAAAAAACCGCTTGCTTGGGGCGACTTCAGTTTGCCGACTCCTTGTAGTGAACACTATGACCCCAAAGAGACAATGTAGCATCCATTTCGTGCTACTTGTCCGGTAGCATCGCTTTTGGCTGGAAGGCAGGCTTTGGAAGGCGGGGTCTGGAGGCGGAGTCACTGGAAAAAGGGAGGTACCACTGGAGCAATTTTGCAGAATAACTCCTACACCTTACAACCCATAACGTCTTCTGAATTTCTGTAAGTCATCGCGAACCGTTCCTTTAAGGCTCAAGTGGCTCCATCTTAGCACAAGTAACTCCACCTGTCCCTCTTTTCTGTTCTCGCGACAAAACCCAGCGAATCTCTGCCTCTTCCTTAGAACCAATTATAGCTGGGAGAACCTCTCATTTGAAGAGTGTGCGAGAGCTTGCTCCTTCATTTTCCTTCACTGGCAAGTCAAATAGCAAATACACTTGATTCTCAGCCGTGCTGCTTACGCCTAACGATAGAGATCTAGGCCATTGTGCATTCGCATCGAGCGTCAAAACTAAATGTATGACATCAGAGGAGTGCTGAGCTACGCGCGACCGTCCACAGACGTGGATCGAACCCACACTCATGCATTTTGGGCGCCGTTTCTTTCCACAAAACCACCGAGACAATTCCCTGACCGCTTCTAACAATACATCCAATGTAATACTCTTCCTATGAAGTGATGAGCAGGGAG